GATTACATCTGTGTGAGAGGAAGGATTTGCTGATACTAGTCCTTAATGTAACCAGTTTTAACCCATGCACTTGTCTATATCTTACACACATTGAAGTCATATTTCAGATTTATTTTCTTCATTCCCGTTGAGCCTTTAAGCCCTCGATAAGTGCACAAATGTCTCCTTTACTGTGCTGAAAAGTTAACATTCTTTCCTGATGTCTTTCATAACTCAGAGCTTTGACACTAAAGGAGGAGTTGAGACTAATGAAAGGATGGGATTGGGTTTGATGGTCGTAATTTTAAAAAATCAGATTCCCAAAACAAATTATGTCTGATCTATCTACCTCTGATTTTAATGAAGGCACAAAGGTAGACAGGCAGCAAACTGACTCCAAAGACCCCTTTAAATATGGTCATGGTGTTGTGAACTTCATTGCTATTAAGTCACACACCAACCTGACTTGGACATGTATTAAGTCCTTCCTCATTACTGGGTCAAAATTCTAGAAAATTTTAATAAAACTGGGGGTGGGGTGGGGGAGAGGCACCTCACGGACCCAGGAGGAAGGTCTGTCATTAGATCATCAGCTTTTATATTACAAGAATGAATAGAAGACATGAATTTCATATGATACATGAGTCACCCATTTTTATGTCTGCTGTGTCATACTTGTCTGTATTAACTTTCATCTCTAATTATTCTGATAACCAAACTACTTGCCCAAACCACTCTGTAACCCCTCAGCTGCCCCCTCCAAATTCACATTCCTATCTTGTTTAATTTCATTAGCAAATGCAATCACTTCTCATTATGTAAATTGGAACTAGCTTAGTTCTCGTCTCCTCAAAGAAATCTATCTGCCTTGTCATTTCTAAAATTCAAATTGGTTGCTTCCAATTACTTTCTCTTCACCTAGATAATGTATCATTTTAGTTTTAATTACAGATTTCAAAATTTTCCCTATCACAGATGTTAAACTAACTGTCCTGCAATTACATAAAATATGAGAGAGACTAATGTTTCTGTAGTTTATTCAGCTACTCTGTTTGAAAGTGTGTGACACACTGACCTGGTTTTAATCTAGTGGTAGCTCCCACTGTTCACTGACTTTCTTATAATGTTCACTGTTACATAAAACTCCAGGCTGATCTCCTGGGATAAATACATTTATGGCTCGTGACTTATAGGCCTCGGGCTTTTATTATCATTTTAAAGCAAAATCATTAATTTTTCAAAGTTCTCTCCACTTGGAGAGAGTGTATTGCTTATGCTGCCCTTGTAAATACTTGGAGGAAGTAGTCAGTTAGAAAATCTAATCCCAATTTTGCTGTTCCACTATTTCCAACAGTGGAGGCATTATATCAAATACAATATGGCTGCTTTGCATGCACAGATATGGCCAGTGACCTCATCTGGTTGTGAAAGGACAGGCCAGAGGCAGCACCTACGCATGCACTGAGGATGTCACCACTTTTCCTGCATGGTGATGTCACAGTAAATGCTTGCACTACTGGCTAGAGGCGACCAGCTGGAGAGAGTGAAAGGCTGGCACTGACGCTGGGAGCTGGAGCGAGTTGGGGAGGTTGCAGCTGGGATTTGGAGTGGGACAGGAGTGCAGGAGCCGAGGTAGAAGGCCAGAAGTGGGAAGGCTGGGAGCAGAAAGTACCCTCTGTCTCCTCCCAACTTGTCATCAGCAGAAACTGTCACCTCACTGGTCATCCATATTCATTGTGTGTAGGCACCCCATTAATGATTAACATGTAACCTCTATCAGCTCAGAGATACCAACCTTAGCCAGGCCTCCAATGCAGGGAGATTGGTTCTCATATGGTAAGCCACACTTCATAAATTGTTGGTGGGGGGGAGACAGAGATAATAGATCACAGGACTCATTGAGCTCTGTTCAGCTGAGCACTGATATTCAGCCTAGAGGTTACATAGTAGAAAATTGTGGAGCAGCAAGAGGAAATGTGAGAGTGTCTTTTGGCATTTTCAGATGCTTAGCGTACCTTTGGAGAGAGATTGAAGGATCCCATCTCTACCATTGAAATGTCAGGCCTTGCTGCCAATGACCATCTCCATGGACAGAGTCACCATTTCCAAGCAGCATCTGACACAATAAGAGGCCAATTACATTCTGGCCCTTATCTCCAACATAAATGGGAAGAAAACCTTGCTGGGTTATGCAACACTTCACCTCACTGTCTCTGGGCAAGCTACTTTCACGTCTATCTCCTGCCTCCCCACTCCTCAGTCAGAGGCAACAAACTGACTCCAATCCTAATGATAGAGTCTGCCTCTGCATTGGTGCTGGTGGGACTGTCTCTGGTAGGGCACCCAAAACCAGAGATTGTCCGCCTTATGCATTTGAGTAATGAAGACAGAGAAATGAGCAGCCTGCCTCTGGCTCCACATTCATGCGCTAGGTGGGCAGCTAGGTGAGAGACTGCAGGAGGGTCCTTCTCCTTTTGCTACTCCCCTTCATACTTCTCCATCTCTGAGGATCTAGAATGATCATCACTTTCCTCCTTACACAGTTGCAGTCCTCTTTAAAGCACAACATTGTGCAAGTCACAACATGTTATAGCTGTTCTGGGCACTTTGCTGATGCATACTAAAGGTTTCCCAAATCACATCTACAGCTCCCTAATAACCTTCTCAATGACCATGCTGTGCCGGTGTGGCTCTGGTTGTACCTGTCCTTTGCATCAGGGGTAGGGATGCTTGCAGGTCTCATCAGTCACAAACTCACCCTTATCTCCAGAGAGAGGTCTGGTGAAGAAGAGATGCCACTGGCATCTAATCATGGCAGCTCCCAGGATATCCTGTATAGATAATGCAAGAAAACCTTTTGGGGGTCGCATTCCAGCTAAACATTAATGGAGTGAATCCCTCTCTACTGTTGATTACTTGTTGATGATCAGCTTTAGAGCTCTACGACACTATGACTCTATGTCACCCTTATTGCCATTTGTCAATGATTCCTTATACCTGTGAGCACCTCTTGAAGGAAGACTTTCTCTCAGGAGACAGCAGACAGTAGCACTGATCCACAATGAATGCCAGTTAGCTAGAGAAAAAGCTGCTGCTGCTTCACACAGATAACCCTTGGCCTTTTTCCATACTGCAAACCATCTTCTTAAACCCCTCTCCACCCTCACCTCCAGAAACAAGAAGTTTCAATTGGTTGCAGTTTCAACTCATGAAACTCTAAAAGGACAGGTGCAAAGTTATGAATGAATGATTCTTTAAAGCTTCTTAACACATTCTATTGTCACCGCGTGGTCCATTTATTCTATAGAGTGGGAATGGACATGTAATTGCCATTATTTTTGCACGGACAAGATGAGGGGCTATAGCTTGGCATGGACTGTGTGAAGGGTCATGGAAGTGGGAGGAGGCATAGCTTGGTGGGGGGAATCGGTAAGACCTTTAGAACCTTTCAGTGAATTCGCTCATCCATTCTATGGTGCACGAAAGCTCGGAGGTGCCATGGACAACAAGTTTTTAAAATCCTGGCCTGGCTCCATGACAAAAGCAGAGGTCGAGAACATATTTATGCCCTCACTGGAGTCAGTCAGGTCTGGAATGCAAAGTGCAGGGATGTGACCTCAGTCAGCCCTTAACCTCAACTGGCACTGTGAAATCTGCAGATGCTGGCAATGGCAACAGGAATGCAAGAATTGGTTTGGCCTCCACCTTCACCCCATCCAGGGATTCTACCTGATTCCATGCAAATCGCCCCCAAAATATCTCCTTATTCAGATCAATGTCATGTTTTGTTTTATAATGCACCAGTGAAATGCCTTATTTTCTCACTTTAAAGGCACTGTTTCTTTTTGCTGTTCCTGTCCCTTATCACAGATGCAAGATAGAACTTTAAAAATTGCTACGATGCTGCGATGAAGGTTGACAGCAGAGAAGGGTAGATCAAGGAGGATTTGATTTGATTTAGGTTTATTGTCATGTGTACTCAAGTATGGGGTACCAGAGTACAATGAAAAGTGTACAATGTCGCCATTCCCGACACTACCTTAGCACAAGTGTAGATAGGTACAAAATTTTTAGTACAGAAACAGAAAAATGAAGGAATAAATTAAAAACGCTAGAGTCCAAGACGGCAGAAGTGATTTCCAACATTGTGGAAATCACCTGAAAATACATTTGTGAGCGAATCTTGTAAGTAAATGACTTTTACTAGGTAAGGAAGGAACTGTTTTTGTTCAATATTCAGCTTATCTAGCTGTGGCCCCTGTTAAGCCCTGCTGTACTCTTGCCTTGTTGACACTGGTGCATTCCAGACAGCTCAGAAACCCGTCCATTGCCGGTTAAAGCCAGAATGCTTTGGATTGCTTTCTCACACGTTTAATTTTGAGACATGCTACCCCCACTTGCTCACCTTCAAAACTACATTGGTTAAATACAGAAGTTAGTGGGATCATGGCTGCTTTCCAAATCACTGACTCTTTCTGTTATCATTTAACCACACCTGACCCTGAGACCTGCATGTGCCTGTGTCCCTCTGCAAGTTAGAATTTTGCTTGAGACAAAAAACTGAAAGAAGTGCGGATGATGGAAATCTGAAACAAAAACAGAAATTGCTGGAAAATCTCAGCAGATCGGGCAGCATCTGTGGAGAGAAATCATAGCTAACGTTTCAGGTCCAGTGATCCTTCTTCAGAACTGAACTTAAGAACTTTATGTAACAAGTGCTGAAGAAGGGACACTGGAACCAAAACATTAACTCGGATTTCTCTCCACAGATGCTGCAAGACATGCTGAAACTTTCCAACAATTTCTGTTTTTGTTTAAAATTCTACCTCATGTCTTCAGCACTGTCCAACCAGATGAAAGATAATCAGCAGAACTCAAGAAAGGAAACAAATAAAAAGGATGCTAATGTTAATCATAAGTATTTTGAGACAATTTACAAGTTAAATGAGATACTAAAAGCACGACTTTCCATTGGAGGTGTCACTAATGGGAGAGGAGATTGTTGTCTAGGATACACTTACTTGATATAATATGGCACTTTGTTTGGTGAGATGGCCCTCTCCCAGGGAACCTGGACAGAAGCTGAAAGTATGAGTCATACAGAGATTTGGATAGAAAATTATGAAAACAAAATCCACAAAATCACTTTACAGCATAAATTGCATTTTAGGTCAAATATTTGAATGCCTCAGCTCTCGTCTTGAAGTGTGTAGGTGGTTGTCTCAGTGATCTGAATGTCATAACAAGAGAAATGACAGTTTGCTTTGACTGAATGTGTAAGGACAACGTGTACATTTTACAAAAGTTTCTTGCAGTTCATGAGAATTAATTTTAAAAGGAATTTTTACTTTAAAGCTAAAATCAATTATTTTGATGCCAGTAAAATAGTGTTCAGCGTTCACTTTGCAGAATAATAATCATATACAACATTTCGAAACCACAAAGCATACGGACTGCTCTGCATGAACAGTTCTAAGTGACAGAAGTACAGACATCAGATGTACCTCATATGCAGGATAAAAGCATTAAGAGTAAGTTAAAAAATTTGAGACGATTACCAGTAAGTTACTCAGATTACTAGATGTTGATGAGGGAACTCCTGTGGAGGATAACAGATATTGTGAATTGTTTTCTATATGTAAGCATCTCAGTATGAATAGCAAAAAGAAGTAAATGTGAGGAAGTGTAAGGTCTTTTCTTGGGAGAAGGATGATGAAAGTACAGAATTCCAGAAGATGGACTGTGAAGTTTTTGAACAGATTGATATAAGAAGCGAGGAGATAATAGAGGTTTTTCTGTGTTTAAAAGTGGGCAAGTCCCCAGGACTGATAAATTGTCTCCCAGGCTGCTGTAGGAGACAATGGAGGAAATTACAGGAGCCTTGACCCAAATTTTCCAATAATTTCTAGTCCCGGGGAGGTGCCAGAGGACTAAAGGACAGCTAATGTGGTTCACCTTTACCAGAAGGGTGCTAGATGTAGACTGACTGGTCTACAGTTCCCTGCTGTAACATCAGTGATAGGGAAACGGTTGGAGAAATTAGTGAAAGAGAAAATTAATCTCTAGTGAGAGAGGCAAGGTTTGATCAGGGATACTCAGCATGGCTTTGTCAAAGGAGGTCATGCCTGACAAATCCAGCAGAATATTTTGAGGAGGTGACCGAGTGTTTTGATGAGGGTAGGGCAGTTGCTGTAGTTTATATGGATTTCATCAATGCCTTTGATAAGGTCCCACATGAGAAAAGTAAAAGCTCATGGGATCTAGGGTAACTTGGCAAGTTGGATCCACAATTGACTTAGTGACATGAGACAGAAGGTGGTGGAAGGAGGTTGTTAGTGTGACTGGTGTACAGTGTGCAGTGACATACTGCAGGGATCAGTGCTGGGTCCCTTTTTATTTGTGATATTCATAAATGATGCAGATGAGAATGTGGTGGTATGACAAGGTAGTTTGACACAAACATTGGCTGGGTGGTTGACAGTGAGAAAGAAGGTGTCAGGTTATCAGATGATATAAATGGATTGGTCAGATGGGCAGATCAGTGGCAGATGGAATTCAATCCTCATAAATGTGAGGTGATGCACTTTGGAAGGAGAAATAAGCAATGGAGGACTTAATGAATGGCAAAGCACCAAGCTCACAGGAACAAAGGAATCTCGAGGTGCTTGTCCATAGATCCCTGCAGGATAGGTTAATAGGATGGCTAAGAAGACATATACTATACTTGCCTTTATCAATAATAGCATAGATTATAAAAGCAGGGAGGTCATGTTAGGCTATACAGAATTTTGGTTAGGCTTACGGCTGGAATACTGTGTGAAGTTCTGCTCACAACACTATAGGAACAATGTAATTGCATTGGAGGGGTTGCAAAGGGGATTCACCAGGATGGAGCATTTCAGCAATGAAGAAAGGCTGGATAAGTTTGGGCTGTTTTCTTCCGAGCAGGCAAAGTTGAGGGAGGACCTGATAGAAGTGTATAAGATTATGAGGGGCATGGACAGGGTGAGCAGAAAACAGCTGTTCCCCTTAGTTGAAGGGTCAATAATAAGATGGTATAACTTTAAAGTTAAGGGCAGGAAGTTTAGAGGGGATGTGAGGAAAAACATTTTCACTCAGAAGTGGCTGGGGTCTGCTTCGGAAGGTTGTTGAGGCAGAAAACCTCACAACCTTTAAAAGGGACTTAAAAAGCACTTGAAGTGCAAGCACATTCAAGGCTATGGGCTTAGTGTTGCAAGTTGGGACCAGTGTAGGTAATGGTATATTTTTGGCAGTACAGAGTTGATGAACTGAATGGCCTCTTCTGTACTGTATGATTCTAAATGCAATTTAAACATATATTTACTCTGCCAATCCTCAACCACTTTGAGTCAAGTAAATGCACATTTGATAAAGTCAATCGAGTATGTGATTAATTATTTGATTGTGTCGATGTTATTAAAATGAGTTCCTTATTCACTCCATAAATTAAGCACACATCTCCAAATTATGCCTTACTGGACTTACTCGATAAAAAATGCTGGGACCCTGGGCCAAAGTCACGGTGAGCATCTTGAAGCTGCTTGAGGCGTTCATTTATGGAAGTCTGTGGAATGAAGAGTATTAGACACGAGAATCTGAGGACTGAAAATTACTTAGAACAATCACACTGATTACAGTAAAGGATTTGTAATTCCTTTCTGATCTATGAATTCCATAAATATTTTGCCAATCGATAGAAGGAAAGGGGTTGATTTCAGTACAAAATATTCCACAAAACTATGGTCAAAAACTCTCTCATTTTTTATGAACCTTTTCGCTCCTATTTTTATATTTTCCAATTTCAAGACTCTTGAACATGATGGTGCAAGAGCTGAACTGTAACTAAGATACTTTAATTCTATTTTGTGGCATGCATCTTATGTATCAAATAGAAGATGATTTATTTTCTGCAAAATGGAAGAATCTGTTTGACCTTTTTGTCTTTTTGAATGTACACTGATGGGAGGTGAAAATCTAGCAATGGGCAGCAGTATGTTTTAAATACTTTGTTTAATGCCAGCACCATATGTTCCTCTACTCTATTTCCATCATGTATGGGGAAGGAGAAGGAAGTTAAGGAAAAACATGTAAAAAAAACATGGAAAAAAGTAATGCCCTAGACCAGAGGGATACTTTCCCCTTAGAGATTTCATACACAGTAAAATATTTCCAAAATAAACTGGAAAAAAATGAAGAAACATTTCATCCAAATTGGAGGGATAGTAGGAACTGCCGATGCTGG